TTTGGCTATAACTTTTTTATTTTACATTATTGTAGGCTCAAATTAAAACTCTTAGTATATTTTTCGACGCTTTATCGAATGGCGTTGCAAAAATCCCGACAAAATAAGCGAAAATACCGACAACTTTGAGACCCTTCGGCTGTGGGGGGGGGTAAAGTAAACTCTTACCTTTATTATTAACAGGGAGACAACGGTGGGGGAAAACAAAGATTAGTTTCCCCCCGCAACAAGTAGTTCATTTAAGCTAATGCCAATTAAAAATCGTGCGGAAAAGCTAAATTCGTCAGAATTGCAGTGATTTTCTAACGCATCGCCGTCAGATAAATTTTCTTCGAAATTTATCTAAAGATCAGGCCTTGACAACGGGCCGGGCCGGGCCCGGCCGGTTGTCAACCACCTGCTAAAGATCACCGCACCACTAACTTATTTTTTTCCCAGCCAGCTAGTGTAAATTGACGGAACATTGATTTTTATGACTGAATTTCAGTCGGACGGCTATGTGAACGGGCAAGAGCCTGGAGAGAAGCCGAAATGGACCGCCGATGAACTGGAGGCCGAGCGCAGGCAGTGTACGTTTCATCTGTCTGAGCATCAGCGACACAGAGAGGGAGAGAACGACGGAGAGAGAGAGAGAGAGAGAGAGAGAGAGAGAGAGAGAGAGAGCGGGAGAACCCGAGCCCATATCTGTTTCGCGCGTTGCGTCCTGCGGCTGCAGCATAAGCGATACGAATTTGTAACATTTTTGAAGACAAGGTGATCAGCAAACGTTGTTCTAGCGCAACAAACCCAACAAACCAAATATATAAATAACATTCGAATTCGAAGACCATTTTTCTCGAACACACAATAAATAGCGATTTTCGACGATAATGCCCGTATTTTGAACCGCACCGATTTGCGCTTGCAATATGGTTAAATAATAGTTATTAGAAACTCCAGTAAAATACATACTATTGGATAAACAGAATCATCATAAAAGGGATCATCAAACCCAATATTTTGTTTCACGGTCAGTGCAGCGATGTATTAATGACTATCCCAAACAATCATTTTGACGTTTCGTTGTAACATCTGTTTTTCAGTCGCTCTGCTGGAGGCGAGCTCCGAAGTCAATCGGTGGGTTTTTGAAAATGTCGAAAAACTTTAATATTAACCAAAACTGAAAACAAAGTAATTGAAAAAAGGCGAATCATCATATGCGGATTTTTTTGCAAAATTGATGCTTGTGTTGGGGCAATTCGGGAAAAAATTGCGGTTCTGGTTCCTTAGCTGGGGGAATAAGCCTATTCCCCAAGTCCAAGGAGTGCGGGCGTGGCCTTTCACGATGCCCCCCCCCCTAACCACAAACCCCACGAACCAGAAACCAAGTTGCCAGTCGCAATCAGAAGGCATTCAGATTAAATAGATCAGAGCAAGCTAGCAGAGATTCTTTGCCATTTTCGAAAATCCATAGGAACCTTAAGTTTACAATCCCGTTAGAACAGTCAAAAACTTTTTTTTAGTCCTCCGTTACTTCGCCCCCTCGAGCCGCTCATCTACAACCACACCGACCCGGGCGCCACGGTCATCTACGGCTTTTTCAAGATCACGGTAAAGTCGACTTTCAGATTTTAAATGTTTGAATTTTTCTAGCCCTCACTGCACTTGAAAGACGGCGACATCAAGAAGCCCGCCTACAACGCCGAGATCTCGTACAAAATTGTGGTCAGTGCTGTAGTTTAGCGTTTTGGAATTTTTTAGGTTAAAAATAAATGTTTCGTTTCGAAGTCTAGATGAAGATAAAATGTTTTCAACAATGGCAAGACAAAAATTAAGGAATATCACCGTAGTTTTTCCTATCGGTCCAGAGCATTTAGTAATAGAAAATTAAGTATTTTAATAGTGATTTTAATCACGTTTATCTATATTTCAAGCGGAAAACTATCTAAAAAACCTAAATTTATTTTTTTGAATAGCATGGGAAAATACATTGTCGTATTTTTTAGGTTGAAAATCAATGTTGCGTTTTGAAGCCTAGAAGGAAGTAAAAGGTTTTTGAACACTTAAAGTTACCAGATACTGTAATTTTTTTTCTATAAATCGGAGGTTCTTAGTAATAGACTCGTAAGTATTTTGGTAAAGTATTTTGGTATTTTAGTGATAAACTATCCAAAAACGTAAAATATTAAAGCCTGATCGAAAATCGTTATTTCAGCAAACTGAAGTTTAACGACATTTTAAAGAAATTGAATATTAAAGATAAAATATTTGGTACCCCTCCGATAATGCAAAAAAAAACTTAGTTTTCCTTTAGGCGTCATGCAAAGTCTAGCAAAAAAATTTTTTGCAGGAAAGTGTTTTGAACATTTAACAATTTTTCAAAAAAAATGTTTTATTTTAGTCCCTTAAGAGCCGGTTTTGTATCTTTGGCAATATTACCTGGGGGCAATCATAAAATCAGCGTAAAATGTCACAAATTTAGCTGACCCGCCGGATTCCCCCTCACTCGGCCCTGCTGCTCCACTGCTCGAAGGATTTGCATATCGACGAGGCGAAGTTCATCGTCTACGACGAGAAGACCTGGAAGAAGGAATGGACCATCGCCGAGGAGAAATTTGTAGGAAAAACCAAAGGCTCAACTACCTAATCGAAAATTGTGCATTAATATCGTAGGTGCTGAAACATACATATTTTTGGAATAGATACATGCTGAAATTTATGAAGAAAAATTTAATGAACGCAAGGAAATACAACAAAAAATAGTCAATTTTTATAGAGTGTACACAGTTTTAGTTATAAAAATATCATAACAAAATTATAAAATCTGCGAGAATAAACCAACTACGGTTACTATTTTGCCATTCTTTCACGGTTTGAGCGAAACATCTTAATTTTAATTCCATTTTAGCGCCAGCGGATAGATAGCAGAGAGTCTTTGTGGAATTCGACGAAACCTCTTTTTTTTAGCCGACGGACGACATGAAATACGAGGATGCCCGCATCGAGTTGCGCCCAAACCAGAGCCAAATCGCCCTCTCATTCGGCCGCATGATACCGCCTACCGTACTCGTTGTCAAGGTCGCTTTTTCGGCGACATTGGAATCTTTAAAGGCACTGACAACACATTTTTGTGGATTCCTGCCAACGATTTCTTTATTTTTCAGTTCAAAGTCTCGCAAACGCTGAACGACGACCGGGTGGACCGTCGTCGGGCCGGCCTTGTCAACGTGCGCACGGAAAATGGGTACTTTCGGCGTTTTTAAGGCAAAGTAACTCATTTTCTATTCAGTGACCTGATCTACACAATGCCGGGCCCGATCTCCGGCCGGCACCTCTTCCCCGGCATCGAGGCCCTCGAGCAACCGGTATGTTTCAGGGTTTTGAGTAGTTGAAACCGGCTAATTCGATACAATTCGTCATCGCCGTGTCTATTTTGGCCCTAACGCTATTTTGAGGCTAAAAGCAAAGTGCTTACACTTTTCCTGGTTCCGTCGAATTTTGTCAATTTTGCAGACGCGCTGGTCGGGTGCGTGCGAGGTGGACGAAGACAAGCGATGCCTGTGGAATTACGGGATCTACAGCATGAACGGCGGGTGGGCTCTTTTTGTCAATCATGCAAAAGATCAAATTAATTGGATTCGGCAAAAAGCAAAATTTCACTATGGCGGGGTTCGAACGCAGGTAGTACACCCGACTACCCAACCCGCCACCAATCGGCCACCCGGGATGGCCAAGTGGTTGTGTGCTTGCCTATCAGCCACGAGGCCCGAGTTCGGACCCCGGCCGGTGCTGAACTTTTTTCTTTTTGGGCAATAGCCTGTTTAAGACACAAGTTTCGACATCTACTTGACAAAAAAACAACAATTTTTGCTCCGCAGAGAATCGAACCCGGGTGGTGCGGCTCAAAAACTAGCCGACTACCGATCGGCTGCCACCTACAAAACGCTCAGTTTGATTCTAGCACGAAGTACGCCTACCTGAAGTCCTCGATCGCCCCGATGCCGCTGGGGTTGATGACGCTGGTCGTCTCCAGTTATCCACAAACTCGTCTATCGCACAAGATGAAGAATGGGGTATATTTTGGCGCTCTCTCTATTTCACTCTCTCTCTCTCTCTCTCTCTCTCTCTCTCTCTTTTTCTCTCTGTCTCTCTCTCTCTCTATCTCACTGGCTCTGTCTCTTACTCCCCCTCCTTCCCTCTCACTTTTTCGCTCACTCTCTATTTCCAGGGCACGATGACGACCCACCTCCTCAGCCCAACAGGCACACAACCCGCCGACGACAAAAGCGAACCGCCACTCGCTGCCGTTATGTACGTTAATTTTCTAGAACCACGAACGGCCAAGAAGTCGAAATTTGTGTGCACGGGATCGAACTCATGAGTCAAAAATTGAAAGGCTAGTCCCTACAAGTATCGGCAAAATTATTTCGTTGCGAAAAACGTGAAAAAATTGAGAAATAGGGAATGTTTTGTTCGAGTTTAATTTCGCGTTTTTGGAGGGGCGGGTCAAAGTGTCGTGATGCCCTGTAAAGCGCCCAATAATCATCAATCGTAATACCTGGACAATTCCAGGAGTTACATCAGAATTTTGAAATTCAAACGTTTTACACGTCGAAACACAGAAAAAAGCGTACGAAGCGGTTGCGGGCGCACCTGGCCATTTGCCAGGAGTCAACGCTGGGCGACGAGACCTCGGTGCCCCTTCAAAAGTTTTCTGCCAACTGATGCGCTCGTGCACTGACTAATTCTAGAGCCTTTCCTGGAATCCTAATTATTGGCAAAGCATTATTTCATTCATAGAAGAGCTGAAAGATTTCGGTAGTGAATTTTGATGAAACATCGAATTATTTTTAGAAAGTCCCTGGGCGAGGCGCTGTGGGAGTACTACGATCTGGACGACGCGACGACCACGCGAAAGACCGGATGCGTTAAAAAGTGGGTGTTTCGGTATTATATAAACTTAAGCTGTAAAGGTATATACGTACAAAGGTAAGGCGTGGAATTTTCGATAGATAAAGCTCATGAAATATACGATTTCCAGCGCCGACAAGGAGTACTGTATGCGGATGGACGGAGGCGAGTTTTTGGCTGTTCTTACCTGTTTCGTTTTAATTATGCTGCTATATTAAGCTTAGCTAAATTATTTAAACTTTTGGTTTTTTACTACTAATTTTAACAAACAATGATTTTTCAGCGCTCAGCGTCGCGCCGAACAAGTTGGCCGTCGACACGGCAAGCCCCTGGGTGTCCGTGGTCCGCGAAAGGGTTTGTTAACTTTAGTCGCTATTAAGAGGCCTAATCTACAAGAAAAATATTTTCTTACAAATTTAAATCAAATGTAGATACCTAATTGAACAGGACAAAAAAAAATAAAATTCCGAATTTTTTTGAAAATTAAATGTTTCTGATTATCGCCAAAGCAATGTAAGAAATTTACGAATAATCACTTGGTATGCAGTAAGCCAAAATTAATATTCGGGGGTTTCAAAAAATATTTGAATATGTGAGTTGGTCGCTTCTTTTATCTATTATTTAAATTTAAAATCTAATCTTTAAAATAATATTATTTAAGCGCTTCTTATTTAACGCTATTTTTACAGTACACGATGTGCGCGACTGGGCACTGTAGCTACACGCGCTACATGCAAATGTGGGAGGCCGTCGCGCAGAACCATCTGAGGGCCGTGAGTTCATTTTGAAAAAGCTAAAAAGGAAAAACAACAAAAAAAAAGAGAAAACTTCTGAACCTGCAGCTGATGCTGGGCAACTACATCCCGGGCAGCTGGAACCACTACTGGGTGCCGAACGGGATGGCCATGCATATGCTCTACGTCACGCTCGCCAAAAAGCATCAGCCCTTTGCGCATTTGGTAAGTAATTACGGGCTTTTAATCCGACTTCAAGGTATCGATCGGTAAGGCGATTTGGGTGTTACACATACGACCTGACGCGCATTGCCCCTAGAAAAACGATTTGCGGAAAAGCTGGGTGCTGGTCGATTAGCGCGGGGGGGGGGGGTTCAGCAGAAGAGCAAAGCATGCCCCCCCGCTAATAGTCCAGAACCAAATTTTTTAGTTTGTGGTAAACCACTGTTTCCGGCGCTGAACTTTCACTAAAAAATCTGGTGTTTCAGAAACTGCGCTTCTCGAACGTGATGCGTGCCGCGTTCAACGCCGGCGCCACGGCCAGAATCGGGCTGGCCAGTCGGGATGTCGGTTTTTTTTGCTGGCTTTTTATTGACTGCAACTTGCTAAAACTTATTTTAAAAAAATAAAATCTACATATTTCGAACCAATAAAGGTAGTAAACGAATTTTTTATTGCTATTTTTTAGAAACATATTTTTGCGAAATACAACCTTTCTGTCCCAAAAATGCATGGTATATTCGGTTTACCGTTTCGCTATTTTTCATTATGCTAAAGTTCATTCTCTCGGATTTAAAATTGCTCGAAAATTCTGGGCAATTTGGGCATTTTCAGCTGGAATCGTTGACCATCGACGAGCTGGAGGAGATGACCACCGCCCGGGGCACCGTCTATCGGGTTCGCTTTTTTGATAAATTAAACACACTTATTCAATTTTCGACGCTTATTAATTGATTCAATTTTAGTTTCTCATTTAGGGATTTACTTTTATATTCTCATGTTATATTTCGAGAATAGAATTTTGTTTTAAACCTGAATCTCTCCAAATCTTTTAGGCTACGGCCGTGTTCGACACGTTGATGCTCGGGTTCCGCAGCGCAGACGGCGAGCAGACGTGGATGAAGGTGAGGATATATATTTCTAGAGCTTTCTTTGTTCCAGTTTTTAGATTCTTTCGCATTATCGGTGTTTTTATAGCTTTTATATGTATTTAAACGCTGTTTTTAGCAAAATTTAATTGTAATTTAACTGGAAAACATCAAAAAGTTAGAAAAATTATTTATAGGTAAAATTTTGAGCGAAAAATCGATATTCTTGATTTTTAATCTAAATTCGTAAATTTTTTTGCATAACAAAAATGTAAATATGTAAGAACCAATTTTATTATTCCGGTTAGCAAATTGATTTTTGTTAAAAATAGAAAGTAAAAAAAATTATCATAAAGGCTCGCAAAAGATGTGATTATCGACTTCATCCTGGCTTCAGGACCATTATTTTATGAAACACGTCAAAATTTGACGCATTTTTAAATATCTTGGAAACATGCGCAAATTTTGTTTTCTTGTGGTTAATGTCAGCGGAATACGGTAATTGGCCTCAGGCTGAAAATACACCGACGATGGAACCATAAACGTAACGTATGGTTTTTAATAATTTTCGATCCGTTCACGGAATAACTAACGTAGCGGGAGAGCGGGTTTTTCTACTTGATTGTCGAAACATTCAATTTTCTGCAGGAAGCGCTGCGCCGTTTCGCCGACGACGCCAACCCGGTAGACGATAAATTGTGGACCGGCGGCCAGACGAGCAGCTACAAGTTCCCGCCTGGTGTCTCTTCACTACTGACAATCGTCCGCCCCTGGGTTCTTGAGGTATCTGCATGATTTTTGGGTCTTATTTAAGGACATGTCAAATTTTTTTGGCAGCCTCTATGGCTAGACCTGAAACACTATAATGTGCAAATCAATTGCAGCTACGATACGGCAAATTTAAACCTGTTTCAGCCGAGCTTCCCGGTGGTACGCGTCGACTGCGAGACCGACGAGCACTTTTGCACGCTCACGCAACGCCCCGCTTCGCGCCGTACTTTCAGGTGCCTTCAACTATTTTGCATGGTTCCATGGGTTCAACGCACCTCCAAAATTATTTGATTAATTAATTTAATTATTTAATAAATAAATCAAAATTAAAACCATCCATCCATCAATCATTAAAAAAAGCCTTTTAAACCTAGTGAAATAATTGCTTGCCGAACTTTTCGGCGAAAAATTCGTGGAACCGTTCAATGATCGTATTGCACCTGGAACGTTCTAGTTGTCCCGTAATTTTTGCGAAACATTTATTTTATTGCGACAATATCGGCATTTTTTGGGTTTACAGCGATTGGGCCGCTCATCTCTTGTTACCCCTCTAAAAGCAGCCATAAGTTTTTTTTGTGATGGCAGAGATATCAACCCTAAAACCACCGACCCTATTGCCTAGAAAATACTGTCCAGCTAACCAGAAATAGACAAAACACACGAATTTTCCGTTGCCCTTTTCAGCCGAAACGCAATGTGGGCGATTCCGATCGAATACTGGGCTCCGGATGGGACCAGCCCGACAGCCACCATTCAGTTCGACTGGATCCCGCCGGGTATTTGTATAATTGGATGGCTTAAAGTAATTTAAATTACGGTATGATAACGTTAAAATTTAAAAAATTGGTTTTTAACAGGCTGCGAAAAATTGGCGAATACATGTTTCAGAATTAAAAAAACACCTTTCCCACTTTAGGTTACAAGGAGTGGCCGATGGTGGTGAAGCAGACGTCCGGGGTGCCGATCATCTTGAAATGGGAGGGCCGTGGGTACTACAGAGTCGAGTACTCCCGGGAAGGTAAGCATTCATTACCGCGAATTTGATGATTTTTGTTTACTACTCTTTTTACATAGGACTTGCCTTATCTTCAACCTTCGTGCCATCCTCATTAATTTATGCTATTCCCGATAAACTAACTAATTAAATAGAGCTCGATCCATTAGAATTAATGTGAAACATTTTAACGTATTTTAATTTATTTTTAACCGTTTAATCCAAATTTTATGTAGTCTGACTTTTAAGGCAGACCCGTCGAAATATTCTCTTGGCAAAAAAAACTTTCGAATTTCCAGAGTGGAAAACCCTGTTCTCCTACCTGATCGAGCGTCTGCGCAGCAGTGCTGACTGGAATGCGGTCAGTTTGAGCATAACCATCGACGAAAAAATCGAAGAACACCGCACACGGAGAACAATTAAGTATACCAAAAATATTTTTGTATTTGGAATGCTTTGAAACATTTTTTAGTAATGGATGGCAGCGAGGTATTCGTCAACACACGATAGGCTAAGCGTTTAACGAGGCTAGAAATGTAATCCACGGCTCCTGTATGATTCCTGGCAAATAGCCAGATGCGACCGCAACCCGGCCGCGCCGCACGATTTTTGCCCCTGTTTGGAAGCAAAAACGCGTGAATTTTTGAATTTTAGCGCTGTTTCTGTAAACCTCATCGAATTTTGAGCATGCTAGACTTTTTAATTATTAAAACACCGAACTCCAGAGAGTGGGTGCCTAACAAGGAATTACGACATGTAATCGTCGCGCCCTCAAAATGTCGTTTACGCCCCGAGAAGATTTTGTTATTACCCAAATATTTGACGGTTTTTCGCATCGAATTTAATTTTCTGTTGCTTGTCTGCAGTAACCCACTAATTTTTTTCACGGTAAGAGTCTAGAAACCCACCTACCCCCAGCCGGCAACAACTTTTATATCTCCCCCCCCTTTGTGCTAGCGAGCTCTAAAGTATACCAAAATGTTTGCCGTAGGCTAATTAGTAAGACTACATTGCAGTTCAGTCGAAAAAGTAGCGAAAAATAAAAATAAGAAAGGTAGAAAAGATGAAAAGTCGGCTGGGGGGGGGGGTTTCCTGGACTTGAGCCTTTTCATCAGTAGATTTAATCGCCGCGCTGGATCAAGGCAAAATCCTGAAACAAAAGTTTTTTCTGAAGCTTCTTTAAAATCCTGAAAGCCGCTCTGAAGGTAAAATTTGAGAGCAGTGAAATTCAACGCGCCGACCTCATTCTGAAAACGCAAAGCTTCGTAATTTTCGAAAAAAGTCGGATAGGTTTGTCGATTCGGCTCAAGATGCGTAGGCTAGGCAGGGTAGGTAACCCGTTATTATGTTTCAAAAAAATCTCATTTTTCGCCTTGATTTTAGTAATTTAGTATTATCATAGTGGTTATCTGAAATTCCAGGTGACGCCGCTGACGCGCTTGGCGCTTTATGCTGATGCTCTGGACGAAGGACTTGTTGGAGAGGTTGGTCCTCTCTCTGTCTCTCTTGCTCTCTCTCTCTCACTCGCTCTCTGGCTCTCTCTCCCTCTCTCTTTCAATTTAATTCGTGTTTCAGACTTGGATCGAGTATCCAGCCCAGCACCCGAACCATTGGCGGCTCTACGACACGGTGTTGAAGTGCGCAACTTTATGCAAATTTGTTTATTTTATTACTATCTTATTATTACTTTCATTTTCAACTCTTACTTTATTTTGTGCATATGTATTTAAATGGTATTATTCGTGTTTTTAGTACTGTAACAGGATTCAAAGGCCGGATTTTTTAGCGAAGAACGGCCCGAAGTGCAGCCCCTCCTCGTCCAGATGCTGTTGGATTGGAATGCGAAACGCAGCGACCCCGAGCCTTTTGAAGTGCTTTTTTAAATCGTACCGATGCTTTGATTGCTCGTAACGACACAAGCGTAAAACATTATTTTTTTTTTGGATTTTCGATAAGAGTTCCGAAAGCTTTATTTTTATTTTCGCTACAATGCATGTGTTGCAGCGTCTCATGGTGAACTGGCTGATGCAATACGGACGCCTCGATGAAGCCTATAAAGCCATCACGGTCAGTTAATATGGATTAAGAATTTGGTTCTGGACCGTTAGCGGGGGGGACCAAAATTGTTCCTGTGATTCTCTTCGGCCCATCGCAAAATATGATAACAATTTACGTTGATTTCACCTATAAAAACAATATCAAAACATAATAGAAACGTCGAAAACTTCGATTTTTTTTGGTCAAAAATGCATGAAAAAGGACGTCAAAATTTTCGACTTTTCGAAATTTTGAGAATATTTGTAGGATTTTTGTAGCAATAAGAAGTACTAAAAACAATTGAAAAATACATATCATAATATCAGCAGGTATAGGTGGAAAACAAAAAGTGATTCCCCCGCTAACAGTCCAGCTCCCAAAAATTTTGCGGAAAATTAAAGGTGTTTCCTATTTCTAGGAGGAGCTGAAGCAGCCGGAGAACATCGCCGAGATCAGCACCGGGCTCCCGCAAAAGGCGTAGGTTTTTTGGTTGATAACTTTTTAACATGGTGTTTTTTTTCTCTTTACCGCTGTATTTTATGCGATAAAAGGCTAGGCGGCAGGAATTTTGATGATTTTACAGTGAATATCCGCTGTTCCTGATCCGCCTGTCGTGCTACTTTGACCAGCGCCGCTGCATCGACTGGGCCAAGGCCATGTTTGACGCTGATGTGGGTGCTCATTAATCTTAATTTTGACGAAAATTTTTTTTGCCAAAATTAAAAAAAACGATTTTTCGGCCAAAATAACGGATTTTCGACCAATTGTTCGAATTTTTACAGGAAGTATAGTTACAATTTACTAAAAATATTTATCCATTGAGCGACTCTGCATTTTATGTGCTATTTTTCAGGTGAAAAAGCATTGCCAGAAGCAGCAAAAGTTCAGCGAGTGCACCAAGTATGTATCTTTGTTTCTGCCTTGAATAAAACAATAATAAGGCGCAAAATCCAACTTTGGTCTATGCCTTGAAACATTTTTTCGAAAAAGCAACTTTTCTGCTTTTACTAAATCAGTGAAAACTGCGAAGCATCTTAAAAAGCAATTTTTAGACTCCGCCCCTTCATCCGCCCGTTCGTCTACTGCGTCGTGGTGACGGCCGGCAGCCAGGAGGACGTCGACATGATCACGTGGGCCCGAGAGAATGAAGGTATCGTTGTCAAATTAGAGATTTTACGGCATAATGGCATTATAGTTTTCGCAGTTTTATGTTTCAAATAATATCCTTATGCATGGAAACATTTCCAGTGGAATCAATCAAAAGGGATCGCTACAAAATAAAACTGACTCACCCCAAAGGTGGTGTTTCGATATTATCCGATCAAATACAAAAAATTGTATGAACAGTAATTATACGTATTTTGGCCTATTTTAATCCAAAAATAACCGGGGTTTTAGTTATCTGCCACTTTATATTGTTTTTCCAGTACCGTTTAATTTAATTCAGTTTCAACTTGTCTGGTGCTAGTACCTGGGAAAGCTGTTTTCTTTTAAAATTTTGCGCTTTAATTAGATTAATGAACAAATATAACGTTTCTGATTTTAACTTCCATTACAGTTCAGAAAAAGCCCTCAAAATTCATGATTTTCAGTGGACCGCACCGAGCAGCAGAACCTGATCGACGCCTTCCGCCGCGAGTGCATCAAGCCGAAGACGCCGGAGAAGTGGGTGCTAGAGGCGTGGCATGAAGACGAATTATTGTCGAAATCTGTCAATTTAATCCAATCTGGTGATGAAACGTTGAGATTTCTCAGCGATTTCGCAGAATTTTTTGGAATTACTTACTCTGCAATTTTCGACTGGAACAAAAAAAATAATATTGCCGACAGGAAAAACTTTATTATAGCATTTAATTGCAAGCATTTAATTAATCCTTAAATGATTTATAATCACAAAGAAAATCTTAGGTTCCTCGACATTATACGAATCATTAAAAGCACTCAGATGCCCAGAAAATGGAAAATTTTCGTAACATTTTTATTTTTGGCTTCACTTAATGTTGTTATTTATAAATATAAAAAAATAGTGTCTGTGTGTGTCTGTGTACATTTGCATGCAACTTCCGTCAGGTTGTTCCAGTAGTATCTCAATAAGGGGAGTAGTTAAGGGCATGTTTGATACGTCATTAGGTGCGTAATGGCCTGGGGATGACTGCACACCAATAAAATTTCAAAAAGGAGCCGTTTTCGACGTTAAAATTAAGTTTTTTTTTTGAAAAATGGGCCACGCTCTTCGTTAGGAAACAATTAGCATACGCCGGAAGTTGCGGTAGCCTATATAAGGCAAGAGAGGTAGCGTTTCTCATTTTTTTTTTATCATCGAAAATCGTGAGAATTATGCAAAGTGAAGAATATTAGCGGATCAGACGGGGCCAGGGTTGAAAAGTCGCGAAGCGGCTTTTCAACCCTGGTGTTGTTATAATTTATTGACTCATGCAATTAAAAATTGATTAAGCTTATTAAACCATTTAATTCAAATACGGGCATCAACTCGAGAAACACGGCTTTCACCTGCTTCTTCGTAAGAAACTTTAGTGCAAATGAAATAAACCAAACTACAACAAATATATCAATTTCCAGCGATCCCTACTTCCGGAAGCGCACCGGCATCCGCGGCATCTTCGCCCCGTTCAGCATCGAGAAGGACGACGTCTACGAGTAGAAACAAAACATCTCATACCTATTTCCCCCCACTGCCACTGGGGTTCCCCATCAAAATTGCTTCTAGAATTGTTCGTTGAAGTCAGATTGTCTTGAAATTGTGCAGAAATATGCGGAGGTAGCATCCACACGTTCATGCAAGTTTCTAGCACAATTGAATTATGGGCGGCAAAGTTATGACCAAAGAAGTACAGAACTTCACACCAAGGTAGCGACAAAAATGTTTTTTTGACGTAACTTTAAAACTCATGACCGGATCGGATTAAGGTTTTGCATGCTCGTGTAGATGTTGCTTCCGCATGTTTTTACAAAGTTTGCAACGGATCGGACTTTAACTGACGTTTCTAGAGGTGTATTTGTTTGGTGGGAACCCCTGTTGTCCCCTCACCCCCATGTCCCAGTAGCATTGATTTGTTCCTTTCCGCGTGCCCTTCCGCCCCCTTTTCCCCCAGGGTATGTTGATTTGTGGTGTCGGAATAAAGGGTTGGCCAATAGGTATTGTTGGGTATCGATTATTTCGATTACATAAACCGAAGTCATTCATCTGCGAATCCCAACTTGGCCTTTACATTGTGCTGAAACTTTAATTTCGTCCAGCAGAAAAATAATGCCGTTCGAAATATTCAGAGAAACCTCTCTCTAGTCTGCTCGAAAAGGGCGGCCCTTCGCTTGTTATCAGCCTGAAAACGTAATTCGGCGCGTCGGAGGGGTCGGCTAATCACCATGGCTCGACCTTTTTTCGCCCGTTTACGAACTTTCCAAATGGGCCGGCTTGTCATTCACCTTCGACCCCGAGCCGTGCAGAATGGGTCTTGATGGGCCGAACCAGAAATCAAAGCACCACTGGCGGTTGGTTTTGAGAGAATGGCCGGCAGAGACAAATGTGCTACTATCATTTCCAAGCCGCCAAGGTACCTAGAAGACCTTGAAACACAGATTTGCTAAAACCTCGCAGCACTTGCCTTTCGATTGCATAAACCTTGTATACTTCCTGAGATTACCCAGATTAGAGTAGAGTCCACACCGTTGTTTCAGGTCCTAGTGCGTTAACGGGAGGACTATATTTTTTCATACTTTCGAAATCGCGAAATTAGATTATTTTTTTGTTGTTGCTATGATTATTGCGGGGATCTAATCGAATTTACTTGCAAATTTTTTGATGCTCTATCGGATCGCATTGAACAAATCCCAAAAAATAAATGAAAAATCTAGGATTAACAACCAGGCCAATATCATCAAAGTATTCCACAATTTTCTTAAAAAAATGTTTTTCCGATATTCTTCTGATGGATTTCGAAAATCTGGTTCTAATGCGATGATGGTCTTATTGAATTTCAACAAACTTCTTTATTTTCGCATCGCGAATCGTAGGTGTAATATTGGTAGTGCGTTAAATGGGAAATGTCAAAGGGCCTAACACGCATTCATGGGAGAACGGGGGGTTCACACAAATCACAAATTGAGGGCTATTATGTGGGGTGGGTGTTTCGCTGAGCGGGCATTCGAGCAGGTTTCAAAAATTCCAAAGAAAAAGCAATACGTACAATTCCGTAATTACAGTGCTTCGAAGCACGGGCAAAGAAATTAAAAATGAAGCAAAGCCGCGAAAATTAATTAGTTCATTAAAACTTAAAGTTCAAAAAAATAGAAATTTGTGTTTTGATGTTTCGTGAAATTCCAAAAACAAAAAAATTGGTGTTCTACTAATGCGATGAAGGCACAAATAGACCAAAAAATGTTTTGTTTTTTACTTTAAAAATCCTAATTGGCTAATTTTGCAGCTTCCTTTTCGGGCTGGAATACGCTAAACAAAAGCTGGCCTTTTTGAAGACATTTAATCTTTCCAAGTGATGATAAAAAATTGTAAAGAAATTAAATATTAGCTAGCACAATATGGAATGAATTAATGGTTATAATGGGTTAATGCAAAAGCGTGTATATTCAAGAAAAATGCTCAGCTGAATTAAATTATGTTGGATTCAAATCAATTAAACTGCATGCCGGGGTTGAGGATGGGGAGGAGCTGCTGGTTCAGCTGGATCAGGCTGATGATCGTCCTGAAAATTCGCAGATTAGGATGACTTAAACAATAGTCAAAAAATGTTTCGTTGTTTTTAAATCCCAAATGTCATTTGGAAACGGTAATCGAACAGCATGCAGGTGAGCGATCGATTTTATTAAAGACCAGCGCTGACCCCCCGCTACGCGGGGTTTCAGCGCTGGCCCTCCCCTAAAATTTTTGAATTTGGGATTTGAATGCAAAATTTGGCTGAATTCCCGGTCGGTCGGCGGGCGTACGGACATTAGAAATTTATATATAGTAGATATGCTAGCGAATCGTTAAAGGTACACTAAAATCTCGTTCAAAAATTTTCTCAGTGGTCGGGAATTCTGGGGCTCTCTGCCGCCTCTGGCCCTGACCCCTCATAGCCGCTCTCCCCTTCCCCTCTCCCGTGTCTCCCATGGTCTATTGGTCTGTGGGGCTTGTAACAGGCGAGCAGCCCGGGTTCGGTTTTGCTCCGCGGCGAGCGTCTACCGTAACCCTGTTTGCTATCCCGCGGACGGTTACCGGCCGGTAACCAAAGCAACGAGACTTAGTGTACCTTTAAAGGGTTTCGGTAATC